CCGCCGTTCTACATCCTCGTGTACGTCGACGACTTGGTCTTTGCCACAGCGGACACTGCTGGACTCGCCTACGTGAAGTCCGAGCTGCTGAAGAGACACACGTGCACAGACCTGGGTAAACTGCGCAGCTACCTTGGCTTGCAGATCACTCGGGACAGAGCACGCCGCACCATTACCTTGACTCAGTCACACATGGTGCAGCAGGTCCTTCAGCGCTTCGGCTTCACGTACTCCTCGCCTCAGGCCACTCCTCTGCCTACTCGCCACTCACTCTCAGCTCTGCCTTCGGATGAGTCCGTAGAGTCGAGTAGTCCGTATGCAGAGCTTGTTGGTTGCCTCATGTACCTGATGACCTGCACACGACCTGACCTTGCATACCCTCTGAGCATTCTTGCACGCTATGTTGCTCCTGGGAGACACAGACCGGAGCACATGGCTGCAGCGAAGAGGGTATTGCGATACTTGTGCAGTACGTCGGGCATGGGGCTAGTGCTTGGTGGGCGGAGTCCAGTGGTCCTTACCGGCCACGCGGACGCTTCTTGGGCTGACGACCAGGCTACGCAGCGGTCGTCACAGGGTTACACCTTCAGCCTTGGTTCCGGCTCTGTCTCGTGGCGGGCTACTCGCTCGTCTTCGGTTCTCGGCTCCAGTTGTGAGGCTGAGATCTACGCCGGGGCCATGGCTGCACAGGAGCTTCGCTGGCTCACCTACCTGCTGACTGACCTTGGAGAGCCGCCTCGTTCTCCTCCAGTGCTGTACGTAGACAACAAGGCCATGCTGGCCTTGTGTCGAGAGCAGCGCTTGGAGCACAGAACGAAGCACATTGCTCTCCGCTACTTCCTTGCTCGTGAGCTGCAGCAGCGTGGTCAGTTGCGACTTGCGTACGTGGCCTCTGAGGCCAACACTGCTGATGTGTTCACCAAGGCACTCGCGCCTTGTGACCATCAGCGCTTTTGCACCCAGCTGGGTCTTGTACCTGTCTTGCCTCACTTGCTCTCCTCTTGACTTCACTTGTACTGTGACATATATATATACCTGCTCTTGCTTGTCTAGTTTTATATATATGTCTGTACTCCTGCATGTGAACTGGCCTCTGGCCCTGCTCTTGTGCTCGGACTGTGTGGTGACTTTGTGATCCACCCTGAGCTTGCTTTGCTTTGCTTTGCTTGACTGGTCTTGTGACCCCTTGTTCTCCCCCACTTAGCCTATGGGGGTGTGTCAGAGTATTATAGCTGATGCATGTTTGTAGGCTATAGTGGGGTAGCACATATGGGGTACAGCTTTCTAGGGCTGTATTTGTACCCAACTCTGACTTAGTCATTCTCATTCCTGTTCACTTGTTTTCACACTCAGAATGTGTGGTGACATTGTGATCCACCTTGAGCTTGTACTGCTTTGCTTGCTCTGCTGATTACACCCCACTTTGGCTATGGGGGTGTGTCAGAATGTTATCTTATGCTCTAGCCTGTAGTGGGGTGCTCTATAGCGAGTACAACCCTTCTAGGATTTGCTATTTGTATCCCCATTCTTGCTAGTGCAACCCCTCTTCTTTCTTCTAAATTTTCACACTGGCCTTGTGGCCTTACTCTTGTGCTTGGACTGTGTGGTGACTTTGTGATCCACCCTGAGCTTGCTTTGCTTTGCTTGACTGCTCTTGTGACCACTTGTTCTCCCCCACTTTGCCTATGGGGGTGTGTCAGAACATTATAGCTTATACATTTGTGTAGGCTGTAGTGGGGTAGCCCATGAGGGGTACAATCCAATTAGGGTTAGTACTTGTACCCAACTGTTTCATAGTTTATCCATTCCATTCTCACTTCTCGTCACACAAAAGTTTCATTGGCGCATTCAATGACTCGTGTGCGACCACTTCGAACTGGATTTGATGGACTTGACATTTTTTTTAAGATTTCACAGATTGCGTTGTTCCATGTGACAGTTGATTATTCAAAAGCTATGATGTTGACTTCGCCCCCCATGCTAGGCAGAGGATGGCGGTAGCTTAGTTTTTGGGTCAACTGTCACGCATTTTATTAGTTGCATGTGCATCATAATTCATGACATATCATACTAAACATTATGCATTATATAGCATCACTTATGCATCACGCATCTATTTATCATTACCACCGCATTATATACGGTAATAGTAAAACATAAACTACAAATAGCTTTGCAAATCTGCACAAAACTACAAAAAAAAGAAACAATCATTCTAAACAATAGGCAAAAGTGCTTAACATGTATACAGTATGGGAACGGTACTGTAGTTTAAAATTTTTATTTTCATGTTTTATAAATATGAAAATAAAATTTGTCAAAATCGATCGTTAAGGGTTGCTTCGCAACCTCAAACAAGAGGCGACGAAATCGTCTTAGGGTTGCGAAGCATTTTACATAACGATATGTACACAAATTTTTACATTTTACATAACGACATGTACACAATTTTCTACAAGTGCGAATACTTTAATAAAAACCTGTGGTAATTGACATACATAGCAAGACTCGAAAAAGCAGCTTCAGCAGGATTCGAACCTACCTCCTTCATACCCAGCGCCTTTCCCCTACCGACTGCACTAGCGCTACTGCACAGAGAAGCAACATGATTTTTTAAAGTACATGACATAACGACGAATCTGACACTTTGTTAGGTTGGCTCTTCCTTTCATTCTCCCTCCCTTCCGCTCGCTGGTTTAGCTCCCCGCTACTCACGCCCCACCTACCCGTTCCTACTAAGGTGAGAACAACTCTACCTTACCGTTTCAAGTAGAATTAAGTTACCTGATTTCTAGCGAGACTAGCATGCGTTAATCTCGTACCATAGTTGTTTACTCTTGTGTTGGCCGCGTTTTAAAAAAATAGTTTGATTAAGCCTATGTTCTAGGTTCTAGGTATTCGTTTTCTCTTTCTCTTTTCTTCTCGCCAGTGGAGCTTGTTCTTTTGCCTCACGCTACTTACGCTCCACCTACCACTCCAAGGTCAGAAAGTTTAAGATGTCATTTAGAGTTGTTAGCTCATGGTAAGATGTAAGCTCTTATTGTCGTCATTTACTTCCTATTCTTAGTTAGCCCTCCCTTTCCTACTTCCTCTCGTTCTGCTGACGGGCTACGGGACTTCCGCTAGGTAAGCTCCTAACTTGCAACTTAAACGCGTTCGATACTTGTTAGGTCGACTTAATTCTAACACAGGACGGCTTAGATCTAAACTAGGTCGGCTTAGATCTTGTTTTTACACATGTTTTTTTTTCGAAATCGTAGAAATCGTAATTTATTGAACACTCTCTCTATCTCTCGTTCGTTCTCGCTCGTTCTCTCTCTCGTTCTCTCTCTCTCGTCCTCGTTCTCTCGTTCTCTCTCTCTCGTTCTCGTTTTCTCTCTCGTTCTCTCCCTCTCTCTCATTCTCTCTCTCTCTCTCTCTCTCTCTCTCTCTCTCTCTCTCTCTCTCTCTCTCTCTCTCTCTCTCTCTCTCTCTCTCTCTCTCTCTCTCTCTCTCTCGTCCTCTCTCTCGTCCCCTCTCTCTCGTCCCCTCTCTCTAGTCCTCTCTCGCTCCTGCTCTCGCTCTCGCTCTTCGTTGTTCTCGCTCTCTGTATTCGTTATATTCTCTTCTTTCGTTTACTGTCTCGGTATTTTGTTCCTCTATTCCCGTTCCTTATTTTCGTTTTATGCCTCGTCAGATTCTTCTCCATGCTCTTTGTCAAGTCTAACCATTCAATGCTCACGGCGTTTTTCTTAGCCCTTGTATTGATTCATTTGTTTCTTCGTTATTCCTGTTTCTCTTCATTTCATCACACCTTATGCCTTTTTTCTGTTTTGTTTGTTGTACCGGCTATTCATTTCCGTTCCTCCTTTCCACTTCCTAAACCCGTTTGTCAGGGGCCTTTCCGGTCAGGAACGCGATTTCAATCCAGAAAATGTGTATTGGTCACTAGGATTTATCGTATTGTCCTTTTAACATTGATTTACTTGTTATGTAGTTCGCGTGTATCTCGTGTTTTTTGGCTGGGTTTGCCGGAGCTCGTGTTTTTTATTGTGTGAATGTGTTTGTTCGTGTGAGTGCATTCATCTCATCTGTCATTGCAATATCAATGCATGTCTGTCAATTTTAAAAAGGGGGTTCATTTCTATCATTTCTAATTGGTTCATTGGCGCACTCAGTGACTCGTGTGTTTGCCACTTCGAACTAGATTTGATAGAGTGAACCTCTTTTTTAGAGTTAACAGATTGTATTTTTTCATGTGCTAGTTGATTATTCAAAGATTTTGCTATTGACCTCCCCCCCATGCTAGGCAGGGGATGGCGATAGCTTAGTTTTTGGGTTGTTAACTGTCACGCATTTTATCATGTGCATGTGCATCATTCATCACACATCACATGCATTACATACATCATTCTATGCATTATGCATTGTATAGCATCATTTATGCATTACGCATGCACCTCTTCATCATTACACAACATCATCTAACAGTAACATATAATGCAAACAGTACAGCAAATCTCCACTAAACAATTGCAAAATATTCATATGGAATAATGCACTATGAACAGTACCGTATTCAAAACTGCTCAACATGCATACAGTTTGGGAAGGGTAGTACTGTAGTTGACAAAATTTATTTTCATGATTTTTTTAAAAAATATAAACATGAAAATAAAATTTGGCAAAATCGATCGTAAAGGGTTGCTTCGCAACCCAAAAAGGAAGATATATCAAAATCCGCTCACACTGATCCGCTCAACCATCAAAATAGCAGATTCTCAATTGTACTCGTTAATAGTGTTATGATAACGTGACGAAGTTCACATTCATTTTTGCTGCGCCCTATATATCTGAAATCCGTCTTGTTTTGAACAGAATCTAGAAGGGTGACTGCGAGGCTCACAGCAACACGTCTCTCCTGAGCTACCGCCGCGATTCGAGCACCCTTTCAACCAGTCTCCTCGCTCCTACGCTTTTGCTTTTTCCCCTTTTCCCTTTCCCCGTCGCGGTGTGCGCACATGGCGGGGGTCAGTTCCCCCGAGGACCGCATGCGCCACCTCGTTGCTCGGGACCCTTCCGCGGCCTTCGTTCCGCCGTCGCTCGCCTCTTCCGCCTCCGCCACCTTGCGCTGCCCGCAATGCGCCGCGCCGATATCCGTCCCACAGTCCACAGTAAGCCGCTTCGTCCACCGACACGAAATCGAGTGGATCAAATAAGGAGTATGACAGTTCTCCACTACTCCGAGGTCTGACAAAAACAGTTCGTGCAGCTTCCTTCGCCTTTTTTCGCCTCCCTGCTTTCTCTCTCTCCATTTCGTTTTCTCTGCCCGTTTCTCCCCTCCCCCCCTCCCCCCTCGCGTCATGCTTTCCCTTCATCAGCCCCTTCGTTGCCTCCGATTCTTTCAAGCCCTCACAACCGCGCAACAGGCGATCTGTGAGGCGTTAAAGAAATAAGGATCGCGTCATTCTTTCCCCCTCATCTCCCCTTCCTTCTGCCGCTTCTTTCAATCACCTAGGCCCGCGCAACAGGCGCGGATGGCGCAGCAGTAGGCGCCCCAGGCCATGGGGGAGCTTCCGCGCGCACATGGGGAGGCGGAGCGGGGGGAGGCGGAGGGATCAGCGGAGGCGGATGGCGCATGGCGCCCTTTATGCGGGATAGCCTTGCCACGGTGAGGGGGGGGGGGGGGGGGGGGGTGTGGGATTAGTATGGGGAAGAGTGCCATGGGGGGGGGAAGGGAGAAACGGGATTGAAAATTGGGGGAAATGGGAGATATGGTGCGGGGAGAAAGGAGTGGGTGGAGGCGCAGGGATGAGCGGAGGGGAATGGCGCATGGCGCCTTTTATGCGTGATAGCCTTGCCACGGTGGGATGGGGAGGGTGGGATGGGGGGCGGGGGGAAGAGAGGGGGGGGGCATTGTACATAGTGCATGGCGCATGGCGCCTTGTATGCACGATAGCCTTGCCACGGTGGGATGGGAGAGTGGGATGGGGTGGGGGAGAGGAGTGGAGGAGCAATGGGAGGAAGAGACGGGAGGATAGGGGAGGAACCATCGCGTCCACATCACATCATACATGCATGCACGCTTGTTGCATTGCATCTCCCCACCACCATCCCTCGTCCGTCCATCCTGCTTGCTGCCTACCTACCTACCCGCCTGCTTCATGCATTGCACCCCACTCTCTTTCTCTCTGCAACCCCATCAGCTCGTCACGGCCATGGGAGGAACCATCACATCCGCATTACATCCCACATGCACGCTTCTTGCATCGCCTCACCACCACAACCTTCCTCCTTGTTGGCCATGGGAGGAACCATCCTTCTTCTCTTCCCACCTCCACCCCTCCTGTATCCTGTTTCTTGCCTGCTGGTCACTGTGTTATCCTGATCCCCCATCAGCTCGGCACAGCCATGGGAGGAACTATTGCATCCGTCTATGCTTTCAACGCAGGTAAATGCCATTGTCTATGCTTGCCCTTGGTTGCCTTTCGTCTCTTCCCCTCTGCCTTCTCCTCATCGGCCTCTTCCTCTTCCTCTTCCTCCACATTCCTATACCTCCGCAACTCCACATGCCCATGTCTCCTCTCCTCTCCGCAGCAACCCGTCGTCTCTCTCTTTGCTCCCCTCCCCATCATATGACCTAACCTCACTAGTGGTGACGCCATACCTCATCCCACCCCCATTCTTATTCCCATGCCTCCGCAACTCCACATGCCCATGTCTCCTCTCCTCTCCCAAGCAACCCGTCGTCTCTCCCGTTGCTCCCCATCATATCATATGACCTCACTAGTGACGCCACACCTCATCCCATCCCCTTTGAATCCCGCAACAAGGTTGTCGCCTGTTGTCTCTCCCTACGCTCCCCATCAAATGACCTAACCTCACTAGTGACGCCACACCTCATCCCATCCCCTTTGAATCCCGCAACAAGGTTGTCGCCTGTTGTCTCTCCCTACGCTCCCCATCAAATGACCTAACCTCACTAGTGACACCACACCTAAGAAACATCCAAGAAACAAGGATCGCACATCTAAGGAACAAGGATCGCACATCTAAGAAACAAGGATCGCACATCTAAGAAACAAGGATCGCACATCTAAGAAACAAGGATCGCACATCTAAGAAACAAGGATCGCACATCTAAGAAACAAGGATCGCACATCTAAGGAACAAGGATCGCACATCTAAGGAACAAGGATCGCACATCTAAGGAACAAGGATCGCACATCTAAGGAACAAGGATCGCACATCTAAGAAACAAGGATCGCACATCTAAGAAACAAGGATCGCACATCTAAGAAACAAGGATCGCACATCTAAGGAACAAGGATCGCACATCTAAGAAACAAGGATCGCACATCTAAGGAACAAGGATCGCACATCTAAGGAACAAGGATTGCACATCTAAGAAACAAGGATCGCACATCTAAGAAACAAGGATCGCACATCTAAGAAACAAGGATCGCACATCTAAGGAACAAGGATCGCACATCTAAGGAACAAGGATCGCACATCTAAGGAACAAGGTGTTAAAATTAGAAGAGAGAAGAGGACTGCACTAGCAAGAATGGGGATACAAATAAGAAACCTTAGAAGGGTTGTACTCGCTATAGAGCACCCCACTACAGGCTAAAGCATAAGATAACATTCTGACACACCCCCATAGCCAAAATGGGGTGTAATCAGCAGAGCAAGCAAAGCAGTACAAGCTCAGGGTGGATCACAATGTCACCACACATTCTGAGCACAAGTTCAAGAAGCAATAATTAAAGTTCACAATTATGAGCAAAGCTAGTGGTAGTCACAACGGGCAAGTGAGGAGGAAGAGAGAGAGTGAGAGGAGAGGAGATAGGAGGCGACGGATGAAGCTGCAGACACACGGGCAACAGGAGGCACACTGGCACAGCGGCTACCGGAACAACGCTCCGGAATACTGGAGTAACTGGCCCCGCGGCTAAAGTAGCGGCAGACGAGCAACGGACCCACGGGCGGCTGGCACAGCTGGCTACGACTGGGCTACCGGACGAAGTCCCCGGAATACAGGTGCTGGTGGCGACACGACGACAACCTCCATTCAGCTACCCCAAACTATCCCACTCCCTCTGGCACACACCCACTGCTACACCGCTAGCTTCACTCCCCCTTCACCCCCCCTTAGTACCACTCCACCGGCTCCAACACGTCCACCCCCCCTCAGCGACAGCTGCAGCACAGGGAGACGGAGGAGGAGGAGGAGCAGGGGAGACCACACACCCGCCACCCCCACGCGGCCCCCTCAGGTCGTCTCGACTGGCGACGGGAAAAAAGGGGGGGGGGGCGGTGCACTTGCCGTAGGTAGGGCGACGGGGCCGGGCCGTAGGTAGGGCGACGGGGCCGGTACGCAGGTAGGGCAGTGGGGCCGGGGCGCAGGTAGGGCGACGGGGCCGGGGTCGGAGGTGGGGCGACGGGGCCAGGGTCGCAAGAAGGGCGACGGGGCCGGGGCCGGGGCGCAGGTAGGGCGACGGGGCGGGGGCCGTAGGTAGGGCGACGGGGTGCGACGCGCGGGTCCCCGTCGCCCGTCGCAGCGCCTCCCGGGGGCGACGCGCCGAGTGATGGGGAGCGACGCGCGGGTCCCCGTCGCCCGTCGCAGCGCCTCCCGGGGGCGACGCGCCGAGTGACGGGGCAGAAACCCGTCGCGCGCCTCGGGGCGCACGGCGGGCAGAAAACCGCCGCGCGCCTCGGGGCGCACGGCGGGCAGAAAAAACTGCCGCACGCCACGGGGCGTGCGGCACAGAGAGTAGCAGTGGCAGCTGCAGCGGAAGCAACGAGGTGGTGAGCCCACCCACAGGATCGATCCAAGGGGATCGACCTGCTCTGATAGCATGTTAAAATTAGAAGAGAGAAGAGTACTGCACTAGCAAGAATGGGGATACAAATAGGAAACCCTAGAAGGGTTGTACTCGCTATAGAGCACCCCACTACAGGCTAGAGAATAAGATAACATTCTGGCACAAGGATCGCACATCTAAGAAACAAGGATCGCACATCTAAGAAACAAGGATCGCACATCTAAGAAACAAGGATCGCACATCTAAGAAACAAGGATCGCACATATAAAAAACAAGGATCGCACATCTAAGAAACAAGGATCGCACATCTAAGAAACAAGGATCGCACATCTAAGAAACAAGGATCGCACATCTAAGAAACAAGGATCGCACATCTAAGAAACAAGGATCGCACATCTAAGAAACAAGGATCGCACATCTAAGAAACAAGGATCGCACATCTAAGAAACAAGGATCGCACATCTAAGAAACAAGGATCGCACATCTAAGAAACAAGGGTCGCACATCTAAGAAACAAGGGTCGCACATCTAAGAAACAAGGGTCGCACATCTAAGAAACAAGGATCGCACATCTAAGAAACAAGGATCGCACATCTAAGAAACAAGGATCGCACATCTAAGAAACAAGGATCGCACATCTAAGAAACAAGGATCGCACATCTAAGGAACAAGGATCGCACATCTAAGAAACAAGGATCGCACATCTAAGAAACAAGGATCGCACATCTAAGAAACAAGGATCGCACATCTAAGAAACAAGGATCGCACATCTAAGAAAGGATCGCACATCTAAGAAAGCGCATTTCACGATCCAACCAGGATGCACTTTCAATCCACTCAACACACTCCCTTTTCTTATCCTCCCCCTCTCTCTCGCCCTCCCTCTCCCCCTCTCTCTCGCCCTCCCTCTTCCCAATCCTCCCCCTCCTCCTCGCCCTCCCTCTTCTTAATCCCCTTTCCCTCTGCTCCTCCCGTTTGAATGAAACAACAGTGATGCCTCGGTTGGGAAAGCGCATCCCAGGATCAAGGGGACTGCAATATCTTTTGGGGGTGAGAGTGGAGGCATATGGGTGAATGAAGGGGTGAGAGTGGAGGCATATGGGTGAATGACGGGGTGAGAGTGGAGGCATATGGGTGAGTGAATGAAGGGGTGAGAGTTTAGGTGCTGAGAGTGTGTATGTGCTGTGGCTGTTCTGAGGACGCTTCTGGTGCCGCGGCTGGGCGAGCGTATTCCAGGATCCAGGGGACTGCAATACCTAGCGCGGGTGAGAGTGGTGGCTGGATAGTGAATGAGAGTGTGAGGGAAGGGGTGAGAAGGAACGGGTGCAAGGGAAGGGGTGAGAGGGAAGGGGTGAGAGTGAATGAAAAGGAAGGGGGAGGGCGAAAGGGAAGGGGTGGGAGAGAAGGGGTGGGAGGGCCGGGTAGGAGGGACGGGGTAAGATCGAAGGGGTGAGAGTGAAGGGGTGAGAGTGAAGGGGTGAGAGTGAAGGCGTGAGAGTGAAGGAGTGGAGGAGTAGAGAGAGTGTAGGGTGCCTTTCTTGAGTCAAGTTGGGCAAAAAAAATTCCAGTTGACTTGCACCACCCTTGTTCCCTCACCCTCCCCTCACTTGTGTGCTCATCTTTTACGTTGCAAGCTGCACCTCTCTCCCTCCCACTCTAATTTCTCGTCCCACTGCTGCTCTTTCCTTCTCTACTCCTCCCTTCCACTCGTTTCCGAATTCTTCTCCTTCACTTAATTCGTTCCCTCTCCCCGCTCCCCTCTCCTACTCTTCTCCCCTCCCTGCTGCTCTCTTCCCACGCAGGTTCCGCCAGTGGCAGTGGCTGCGGCAGCAGGTGCAGGAGTGGGAGGTGAGTGCCTGCCTGCAGTCTCCCTCCTCACTTTGTGAGGCGCCTATAAGAATTTGCAAGACATGCGTGAGTGTTTGAGACTGCTGAAAGAGTGGCAGTGGCTGGCTGCGGCAGCAGGTGCAGGAGTGGGAGGTGAGGTGAGTGCCTGCCGTCCCCCTCGTTTTGTGAGGCGCCTATGGAAAACTGCGACACATGATTGTATGCTTAAGGCTTCTGAAAAATTGGCAGTGACAGCAGCTGCAGAATTTTTTGAGAATTTAAAAACCAATTTTGCAGAAGTGGGATGCAAGTGCCTGCTGTCTCTCTCGTTTCTTGAGACATGAGATGTTTTTTTCTTTTAGATAAGATACTTGTTGCGGCGATTCTTGTGGTGCCTTAATTACTGGCAGTGGCTGCCGCAGTAGGTGTGGGGTTGGGAGATTCGTGCCTGCACTCTTCTTTTACTCTTTCTCTCCCCTCTCTACTTCCCTTGCCCCCCTCTCTTCGCTCTACTCTTTCTGAAACCTTCCTCTTATCCTCGCTCGCTCCTTCTCCTCCCTCTTGGACTGTGTACCATTTTACATTCTTTTTTGTGCTGATCCATCCCGTTGCCTCTTCGCACTCTATTTTTGAGGCGCTTCAAATCAAAACATGAGACAACATTTGAGGCGCCACAAAAGTCGCCCCTTATCCCCCCCCTTGGACTGTGTACCAGTTGACAACCCTTTTGTGCTGATCCATCTCTTTGCCTGCCCGCACTCTACTTCACATTGTGCTCTCACCCTGTTCCTCTGTCCTCCCTTCCTCCCTCTCTCTCCCCACCAGCCGGCACCCTCCCTGCACTCATCCAGCTCTGCATGTCAGCATACTATGTCACATCCGCGTCAACACACGCTGCTGTCAGTGTGGCAGAGCAAAGGGTCATGGCTAATGCTAGTGGTGCTGCTGGTGGTGCTGCTGGTGGTGCTGCTGCTGCTGGTGCTAGTGGTGGCGCTGCCTCAACGAGAGAAGAGGTGGGTCCTGCTTGTTAGTGGTCAGCATACTATGTCACGTCCGCATCAACACACGCTGCTGTCAGTGCAGCAGAGAAAAGGGTCATGGCTAATGCTAGTGGTGACACTGGTGGTGGTGCTGCTGCTAGTGGTGCTAGTGGGGCCGCTGCTTCAACGAGAGAAGAGGTGGGTGCTGCTTGATTGACTGGAGGCATTTGTCTTAACCATGCCATTCCATCTTGTCATGCCTACATGCCATGCCACCATGTCACCATGGCCCTGCTGCCCTCATGCATGCATTCATGCTCTCAGACGCCCTTCCCGGTGACCCTTTTTCTCTGTACCTCCCTCACTCTCTCCCCAATCAGTCTGATGCCCCTAAATGATCGTTTCACTTCACTCACTTGCCCCACTATCACAAGCGGCCTTTGTCCCCTTGTGAGTGCTCCCAGCCCTTTTCCTTGGCTTTTGATGCGCCTCAACAGCCCTTCACTTCAGTCACTCTCCACTGTCACAAGTGACCCCTGTATCTTTGTGAATGCTCTTACCCCATTTTTTAAATCGCTTGCATTGCACCACATTTAACCGCACTAAACATGGACATTAGAAAATTTCACCATGCAGTGCCGGGCTGATCTACATTGGTTTGTACCCGTTTGAATGTTTGAAGTGACGCTAATCCGTGTGGTGTGGGACGTGTGTGTGTGTGTGTGTGTTTGGGTGTGTGTGTGTGTGTGTGTGTGTGTGTGTGTGTTTGGGTGTGTGGGGTGTGGTGGGTTGCGTGCATGTGCATGTGCTCCCACTTGAATGTCGTGACGATTATCTGTGTGGTGTGGGACGGGTGTGTGTGTGTGTTTGGGGGTTTGGGAGGTGGTGGTGGGTTTGATGGGATGTGTGTGCCCCTGCAGAATATTTTTTCAAGGGGGCACTGTGGGATGTGGGGGTTGTGTGTGTCCCTGCATATATCTGGAAGATCATGGTGACACTGTCAAAGGCAAGAAGAGGGAGTCAGGCAACGCAGGAAACAACGCCGGTTTCACATTCTTGGAGAAGGGAAAAGGAATAGTTCATACAGATGATGGCAAAGGAGGTTCCGCATTGTTAAAGGCTGTCATCTCAGGCGAAGGTCATTACAGTAGTGAGGATGGAGAAGTTGATCTCGGTGTGCATGTACAGTAACATCAATAATTTTGGCATTGCTCATACAGTAATCTGTACAAGCATGCATAGAAATATAGGCTCTGCTTTGCACTGTCACATTAAGAAACAATTTATTTGAGAGCAGAAACATTGAAGCAAGTATGCAAAGTTTGTTCGGTTCCGTTTGATTTCCTACATGATATTTTGCAGTACCTGCGAACGTTTGCAGTATTTTCACTCTTACTAACACACAAAAACCCTTACAGGTTTTCAATCCAATTTATCAGGGAGGGACTAGATCAGTTCTCAGTTACCTGGTTGCTTCCTTCTCACAGCAAGCAAAGTTAGTACTTTCAAGAATTTCATGCCAACCTGCTAGGCTCGCATTAAAGGAGGGTACAAGGGGGATTAGATCAGTTCTGTTACCTGGCTGCTCCCCACTGCTCATCACTGCTGGATCAGTATTCATAAGCTTGATTCTCCCTCCTTGGACTATTCTTCCTCCATTGCTCCTAATCTCCAACCAGCACTGAAGCCAAGTCTAGGCTAGATTTGCCACAGCCAAGATCAGTACTCAGTTACCTACCTAGTTGATGCCCTCTCCTCGGACTATTCTTCCTCCATGCTCCTAACCTCCAACCAACACTGAAGCCACGTCTAGACTAGGCCTGGCTCAGCCAAGATTAATACTTGGTTACCTAGTTGCTCCCCACCGCTTCCCATTGCTAAATCAGTGGTCATCAACCTTTTTCCTCCCCCTTGTCCTTCTTTTCCACCATGCTCTCCACTGCTCCCCATTGCTCCCCACTCCTCCCCATTGCTCCCCACTCCTCCCCAGTCCTCCCCACTCCTCCCCACTGCTCCACATTGCAATATTAGTGACCCAACATCAGTACTCAGTTACGTGATTGCTCCTTCCTACACCCTGCTCCCCACTGTTCGCCACTGCTCCCCGTTGCTCTATCAGTCAGCCAAGACCAGTAGTAGTACTCAGTTACCTGATTGCTCCTCCCCACTGCCCCCCACTCCCCCCCACTGCTCCCCACTGCTCCCCACTGCTCCCCACTGCTCCCCATTGCTCCCCACTGCTCCCCATTGCTCCCCACTGCTCCCCACTGCTCCCCATTGCCAGATCAGTATGCAGCAACCCAATTGCTCCTCGTTAGACGCCTCTTCCTCCATGCTCCCTGTAGCTCCAACACTGCAGCCAACTCTAGACTTGGCTGGGCCAACATCAGTACTCAGTTACCTGATTGCTCCTTCCCGAACATCACCATGTGCAACCAACTAGCACTTTAGCTGCTGCTCCACCTGATCCACCTGCTCCACCTGCTCCACCTGCTTCACCTGCTCCACTTGCTTCACCTGCACCTGTGTTTGGGTTATTCCAACAAGCTCTATCAACCTGATTGCTCTTTACCAGCTTCAAGCTATGCTATGTAGTCAGGACCAGACTTCACCAAATAGACTTGGCTGATTGCTCCCCATTGGACTCTTCTTCACCCATCCTCTCAATAGCCTCCAGGTCAGTATTCAAGTTACCCCGAAACGACATCCCAATCCCCATTTCCGCTGCTTCCTCATCCACCTAGACCGCCGCACTCAGCTCCTCCTCCCCCACCACCTCGTGCCCAATTCCCTGCAGCTCGTTGGCAATGTCTGCCATGCTGGGCCGGCTTGCAGTGCGCTCGATGGTGCAGGAGAGTGCAAGCTGGGCCAGGCGCAGCACAGCATCATCTGGGGCGTCCATGCCGAGATCCTTGAGGCGGGCTGGATGGTTGGATGAGATGCAGTCTTCCACCTAATGGGTTGAAGAATCCGTGCGAGTGGGGATGGGGACAGGGAGGGACAGGGACAGGGAAACGCGCAGCACAGCATCATCCGGGGCGTCCATGCCGAGATCCTTGAGGCGGGCTGGATGGCTGGATGAGATGCAGTCTTCCACCTAATGGGTTGAAGAATCAGTGCGAGTGGGGATGGGGACAGGGAGGGACAGGGACAGGGAGTGGGGCAGCACAGCATCATCTGGGGCGTCCATGCTCGGGTCCTTCAGGGAGGCCGGTTTCTTGGAGGAAATGCACTCCTCCACCTGATGGATTGGCAACAAGAGGGCGCATACGTACATTGTGGGATGGAAAGTGGGAGCGGGGAAAGCTTGAGGTTTCTGCTGTAGGGGAAGCTTGAGGACCCTGAGACTGCCAGGGTTATTGGCGGCGATGCATGGTGGATGGAACAAGGGTGGATGGGGATGGAAACGGGGAATGACACGATCAGCAGGAGAGGGTGGACATTCAATCCCGCAGGTGGTGATGTTTGAGGAGAGCTGCAGCGCTTATTTAACATGCAGCCTAGCTTCGAGGCGCCTCAAAACTTAACTCCTGAAGGTGGTGATGTGAAAGGAGAGCTGCCGCACGTATCAAACACGCAGCCTCAGGATGCAGGCACTTACTCACTCACAAAGACAAAGCACCTTCATGAAAATTCTCAAAAACTTACTCACTCACAACAAAGACGCAGCACAAAAGCAGCATGGTTATCCATCGTAGAACGTGGCCGCTCTACCCACGACCAGCATAGGCACTCGGACCATTTGCATGTCCCCACAGTGACTTCTCACTAACACGCAGCACAGGCAGCAGGCAAAACAAGCAGCAACGCTTACCCAATGCAGAATGTGGCCGTCCTTTTCACCCTCGACAGTTTGGGGGTTGCGACTGGTGAGCACCACAAGCATGAGCACACCGAAGCTGCACACATAGGGGAGGGAGGGCACAACAAAGTGGGGAGAGGTGGAGGGGGGGGAGGAAATGAATCACTATGAAGGGAGGTGTGTGGTTTACAAATGTATGCAACAATAAGTATAGTCTAAAATGTGAAGAAGACCTTGTAAGATATGGAATCTCGGATGGCGAGAGGAAAAGAAGCATTGAGAAAGTATCAAGACACATTCTAGCAAGGAAGTTTGGAAAACCTAACACTCAGGGTTTGTTTTATTTAGAATAAACACCGTTGAAATGAACCTAAACTGAACCCTGAAGTGTAAATTGTTTTAAACATGACGGAATGATAAGATAACGCTATGATAAATATCAGAGCGAGCTCAAACCTATTCTAACATACAACTACACAACAACAACAATCACTCATTCACCTCAAACATTGGTAGCAATGGTTGCCTTAGTGTCTCAGAAGTAGCTCACCTGTACACATCGGTGGCAGTGGTGGCCTTGGACGTGCGTGAGTAGACAGGATCCACATAGCCCGGTGTTCCCATCACTCGAGTCGTGCCGACAGCGGCGCCCTCGCCCACCCTCAACAGGCCAAAGTCGGCAATCTTGGCATGTCAGGACAGGAAGGACAAGGGCATCATATTATCGCATTTGAGTTGATTACTATGGAGGGAACAATGGAATTATTAAGTATGCAGTTTAGAAAAAAGGAGTTCAAGGGCATGTTGGTGTGATGTGTGGAACGGTCATTAAGAATCACGGAGATTTAGTGAGTGTGACAATAAGTGCTCACTATAATGATCTAGTCAATGTGACCGTAAGGAGGGTTGGTGGTGTACGATCGTGGTTGGATGGTCCGACAACAGAAATCCTTCTTGTTCTCTCTCTCAACAAACCCTAACTCGTCTTGTACCGCGCACACAGGGACCCTTGGAGGTGACTACGGGGAGAGGTTTTAAGTAAGAATTAATTCTTAATATCCTGAGTTTGTCTTTCACCAACAAGCTGGTATGCTGGGTTCGCTTATAGTTATTCTCGCTATAAGTAGCGACGACGGAAAGGAATCGCGGAGCTAATCAGTATTCAGCCTTGATCGCAGCGAACAACCATGATTTTGGTGTTTCGGCGCCAAGAAGAGCGCCAATAAAATAAGGCTCGCTGATCAAGAACGGTGTTGAAGGACTTCACCGTCGAGTTCAATTGTGAGAGCTGTGATGATAAAACCAGGAAAACATAGCTTTATTTTCGTCAGGTTGTTTGCTAAAACTAATGATTGCGGAGGAGACTAGACCGAGTGACCCGGCGTTGTAAGAAGCATGTGATAATCGCGCATCGGCTGGCTACTACATGATGTTGCAGAATTTGGAACTAAACCAACGTCGCCATGTCATCCACCTGCCGGCAAAGGTTGATTGTGGTCCCAAGATGAGGAATGTGCCGAAGGAGTTGTATGCCTCGACCTCCGTTGCTGCGATGTTGATGATGGAGAGGAAGCTATCTCTTGCACCTGAGCGAAGGGGGCCAACGATTATCTTTTCCCCTGCCCAGACAAGCATCCAAGAAGTGTCCGACGGAAGCTCACTCAAGCGTCTAGCGTCTCAACGCTAGCGTCCTGGACCCTAGATGCGTCAGATCCAAAATACTAGTCACCGATACATGAGAACGGTTGAACGTCAACCATGTGCATGCACCCAAGAGCATTAAGACATGGATAGCATATCATACACTAGAGCGAGACCCTTGGACACTGGGGTGGCGCGTACACTGAAGAGATTGTGTTGCGCAGGGGATGACTTCGGATTATGCTTATCATTACAATGAGAAGTCATGGGTAAGTCTAACTAACAACCCGACCTAGGGTTGAGTCAAATCCAGCTTGGCCATAAAAAGTGTGGAGGGGCTGCGAACTCGTGGGACATGATCCGACCCGAGGTCAGGTCGACCCGACGGCTGTATTCGGCTCAGATCGGCCTGGATCACGACGACTAGATTTGTTGCTAAACTCATATATAAGCGTTAATTGTTTCTTAATATACTTAGTGCCACTGTTTCAACTTTATTGTCAATGCATATTTATGTGTGCTCGCTTTCTTGCCTGCATCTTTGCCCCAAGAAGGATGTTGGTGGGTTTGATGTCGCGATGTACAAGACCAAAGCTGTGGAGGTAACCCAAGCCACGTGCCACACCAATGAGGATGTCTAGCCGCTGCTGGAAGGAAAGAGAACATGATGCTTCTACACAGGTGCACACAATAAGAAAGGAAGGACACGAGAGTGGCAGGAATTGAATTGCACATTATAGATGACAAAAGTTGGGTGACACAATAAGACACTGTCAGATTTATATGAGGAGAATGAGGGTTACCGCTGTTTCCAGCCCGACCCGGGCATTGGTACTGCTGCGCTAGGTGCTTGTGAGGCTGCTGCTCTAGGTGCCAGTGCGTCTGCGCTCTCAGGTACTGGTGAGACTGCGCTCTCAGGTACTGAGTCGTCCTCGTCCTCCCTCACTTTCACACTTGACTCCGGAGCTTCTCGCTCCTTCTTTCGAGACCGCACTACCCTTACGCCGCTCGGCCGGCCTGTTGCAGTCTCCCTTGCTGACCCCTCTGGGGGTCCTGTCCTGTCTCACTTCTCCACTGTCCTCCCGTGTCCGGCTGCCCCTTCGGGCACCCTGTCGGGTCTGTACCTTCCCTCGTTCTCTACGAACTTGGTGAGTGGAGCGGACCTGCAGGATGTGGGTGTTCACCAGTTCACTCCTGCGAGTCAGCGGGTGACCCACTGCACGGAGGCACGCACAGGCCGACACCTGGCCACGTTCTCGCGTCGGCCGGGGTCGAGTCTCTACACCCTGACCGTTGAGTCTCCTCCTGTCCCTGCGTCTGGTCAGGTGGCTGCGTCGGGTCAGGTACTTGCTGCTGCGTCCCGGTCAGGTCCTGAGTCTGCCCCCTGTTCTTGTCGCCTCCTGTCTCACGAGACTCTCCTGTGGCACCACCTTCTTGGCCACCCCTCCTTGCCCCGTCTTCGGAGCATGGCTTCCCGTGTCCTTGTCTCTGGTCTTCCCCAGTCTCTCCCTCCTCTCCCCTCCGGGCCAGGACCTTCCTGTGTCCCCTGTGTCGAGGGTCGCCTCCGGGCTACTCCTCACTCCTCCCACTTCCCCCCGACAGAGGCTCCCCTGCAGACGCTTCACATGGATGTGTGGGGCCCAGCCCCCGTCCGTGGGCAGGGTTACGAGCGCTACTTCCTGTTGGTGGTTGACGACTACTCGCGTTACACCACAGTCCTCCCCTTGCGCAGCAAGGGTGCGGTCACTGAGGTGCTGATCGACTGGATCCGCGAGGCTCGTCTCCAGCTCAGGAAGAGCTTCGGCTCGGACTTTCCTGTTCTGCGTCTGCACTCTGACAGAGGCGAAGAGTTCTCTTCTCGCCTTCTGCGAGACTACTGTTGTGCACGGGGGATCCGCCAGACCTTCACGCTTCCGGACTCACCACAGCAAAATGGGATTGCTGAGCGCCGCATTGGCATGGTCATGGATGTCGCTCGTACGTCCATGATGCATGCGGCTGCCCCCCATTTTCTGTGGCCGTTTGCGGTGCGGTACGCGGCGCATCAGCTCAACCTTCACCCCCGGGTCTCTCGGCCTGCGATGTCCCCAGTCTTGCTGTGGACGGGGAAGGTTGGCGATGCGTCTGTGTTCCGTGTCTGGGGATCTCGGGCGTTTGTCCGCGACTTGTCTGCGGACAAGCTGTCCCCTCGTGCTGCTCCCTGTGTCTTCCTTGGCTTCCCCACTGACGCCCCAGGGTGGCAGTTTTACCACCCCTCCTCTCGTCGTGTTCTGTCCTCCCAGGACGTCACGTTCAACGAGTCAGTCCCCTTCTACCGTCTCTTCCCCTACCGCACTCCTTCCCTCCCCCCTCCCCCGGACTTCCTTGTGCCGGTTCCCCCCCCGGTAGACCCCCTCCCCCCTCAGGTTCCTGCCCCCTCAGGTGTGTCCCAGGTAGACGCCGTTGACCCGGTCGAGGTTACTGGTGACTCTGGTGCTGCTGCGGGTGCTGAGCCTGGGGGTGCTGACTCTGGGGGTACTGTGCGCGGGGGTGCTGAGCCTGGGGGTGCTACTGCTGGGGGTGCTGGGCCTGAGGGTGCTACTGCGGTGGGTGCGGAGCCTGGGGGTGCTGAGCCGGGGGGTGCTGTGCCTGGAGGTGCTGGGTCTGGGGGTGCTGGGTCAGGAGCTGCTGAGCCTGGGGGTGCTGAGCTGGGAGCTGCTGAGCCTGAGGGTGCTGCGTCTGGAGCTGCTGAGCCTGGGGTTTCTCCTGCTGCTGCGTCTCGCCGGGAGCCCCTCTCTCCACAGGAGCTGCGCGAGTGGTTCGCTCGCCGCTGGAGGCGTGCTGCTGAGTCTGGA